TTTGGTTTGACATATTTGAAGGAAAGGGAGAGGAGTGGAATGATAACGACATTTTTTTTCATTTTCCTTCTTTTTTTTTTTTTAAGTTAAAAATAAAATAAGAGATTGTGCTCCTCTTCCTTTTCCTTTAAATTTTTTATTAATTAAATAGAAGAATTTTCACTCCTTCTATTTCTTCAAATTAAATATAGTACTTATCTTTTTATAAGAAAAACGTAGAAAACTAATTGTCTAATCTCGAATAAAATACAAAATTATGGAGTATTATTAATATATAACCATACAGACAGGTAAAACAAGAGAAAAGAGCCCTGAAATTAGTATGAGCTAAGCTGTGCCCAGCATTACATATTTACACATGGAAGCAGGATATCCTAGACATACCAGTATACCATATACAGCCTAAGTTTGCAACTTCAAAGGTATGAAGGTGCTTAAAGTAGTGTAGCTTGTTTCTTTTGTTTCCACAAGAATCTGAATGCTATAGCTTTGAGTAAAGTTTGAAACCCATATATATTATACTCAACAAAGAAGAAAAGAACATATTTTTGAATTCTATTCCCATGTATCAAGTAAGAATCTGGTTCATATACATTACACCAGCCAGGAAGTTATACCAATGTTATTTCCACAAGTAAACCAGCAAATAAACCATTGTCCAGTATCATCTCGGTAAAATATATTCATAAAGATGCTTCAGCTTACATTGGAACAATGAAATGTGTCACCAACCCAACTAAATTAAGCACCACCATACAGGCTGCTCTATAATCAATTTATTCATTTCAATTCACAAACCTTCAACTTCAAACTCACCTTGATCCCAGCTCCAACATTTTTAAAAGCATATACCCCTAGAATCAGCTACAGGGTCTTGGGAGGCTCCACTCCAGGTTTTTCACCGATGATGGATAGAACTAACTTCTTGCCTCTGAAAGCTCTGCAAAATTTTGACCATTATGGTTTAGACAGACTTTAGTTCCAAACTTGCTGCTCAAATAATGGCTCTGATAACAGCAAGCAATGCAAAGCTGAGTATAGTGCCAATTTTCAATAATTTAGAGAAAAATACCGGTATTAATATAACTATCAAGAACAAGTTTGTTTTTAACTAATGCACATTTAACCAAAAGAACACTATCATCTTCCAGACTAAACCTGGTTACAATGAGTCAAACCAACATACAATTCACCTATATGTACTCCCCAAACAGCTGCCAGTCCAGGTTTAAAGTGGAAGAAGATTGAAAAGCAAGCCATTGAAGCATAATGAGGACCAAAGTAAATACAGAGAGATAACAGATAACACACCCATGAACACTGTCTTTTGCATCATGGAATTGAAAACTTTATGAGTTCTCAATGGTTGCAGTTGTAATTCGCAGTTGCCTGGGCCGTTCCTCTTCACCACCACGTCGCCAGAATGCCCTCCTCCACCAAATTTCAAATGCCCTTTGTATGTTTGGACAGTTTTCACCAGAGTTCAAGAAACGATCAAACCAAGCAAGCAAAATTTCCTGTTGCCAAGCCAAAGGCAAAGTGAGAATTGTGTTACTAAGACCATCCTCAACTAAATGTCGATCAAGGCCTTTTGATGCCCTCCTCATCCACCCAAAATCATCATAAAATGGCACCAACCATGTCTGTAAAAGCAAGCACCTCACATCCTTTGATGCCAATAGTTGCCCCTTTCCAATTCCAACAAATAGCCTAGCAGTCACCCTGCTAACCTCATATCTGTGAACTACTGGTATCCTAGAATGTGCATCTGATAATTCTGATTGAGAAGCCCATGTTTTCAGAAAATCCTCCGCAATCTGTCGATCAATCAAAATATCCAAGATCCAGTGCAAGTTATCTGCTTGTTTGGCAATCTGATCCACGTCCTGAAAATCAGAAGCTCCTGCTCGGAAAAAATAGTGTTGAAGAAGTTGCAAACACCCATCACAAGCTGAATACAAAGATTCTTTTCTAAGATCATTCTGGGATGAACTCTCATGAAGCATCTTAGAAACCAATCCTTTCATCTCACGCCTTGCCTTCTCATCTTTGCCTTCAAGGACAACATGCAAAAGCTTGAGAAGTACTTCCTCATTGTTATTACCCTCTTCAGTTCCATTAGGAACTTCAACAGAAACCCTCTTCAAAACTTCTCCTGCACCAACATTTTCAAGGCGGAGCTCTGCCAACAATGAAGCCACTTTCTCTTCTTCATCCTCAGCCCAAGGAGCAGCTTCCAAGTACTCCAAACAAGACAAAACCCCAGCATCAAATCCAATTGCAGCTGAAACCTACAAAACAGCATAACAACATCCATTTTATCACTCAAAAATCATATAAAACAAGATTATAAACATGGCGATTCAGGTTGTTTTTCTTCCAATTTACACAAAACTTAACTTCTATCCTGAACTAAGCACAGCAACCAAAAAATAATTATCTTTTTATTTCTCTTATATGCAATGTTTTCTATACATGTATAAATCATCTAAACTGCCATACTATTTTGTACCTATTTCTTTTCTTATGCATAGTTATTGTTTCTGTTATCCAACTCAAGCTAGCAAAACACAAAGAATCAAATTACAGTCTCACCAACCAATCAATGCGTAAGACCTAAATAGAATCTTTAATCTTGTGAAAACATTGTAAAGTTGCTGTCTCTCAGCGTCCATCAACAACTTAAATCACAAAATTATACCCAAAATTAAATTAAAATTTACCTTCAAAATCCCAAGAACTTTAGATACATCCTCCCTCATTAACTTCTTCCTCAGATCCTTGCAATACATCAACCTCAAAGTCTCTATGTACACCTCCACATCATCACAATCCGCTATCTCCACAATGTACGGCCCTGAGCCAGGTCTCTGCTGCTTCGTCCACCGATCAGATAGCTTCACTGCAAAGAACCTGCTGTGAGCCACAAGAATCTGCCTGTGCACGCTCAGTGACACGCTAATCCCATCCTTGGAACTCAATGTCAGCTTGATATCACTCGAACCCGAGTCGTTAAACTGGTTCCCGGGGCTCCGGGAGGACAAAAGATCCGTTATCCTCTGCATAGTCAATGCCTGGTGATCAATAATTTGTGGAGGCTGGTGAGGAGGCTTTGGGGCCGACATGGATAGCTGGATCTGGTTTTGTGTTCTGGGTTGAATGTCGGGTTCGCTAGCCATCATCTCGAAAAGGGTCGGACTGGATCGCGTTTTGTCAGACGGTGGCGGCGGCGACATTGGATTCAAGAGGCCCGCAGTGAGTGCGGAGTTGAACTTAGTAAAGTTGGAAGGCGAATGCCCATTTGTCAATGTCGTCGTACCGACAAAATCCATCACCGGGGAAAGAGTTCCCGGAGAAAACCGGATCCTGAACGAAGAAGAAGAAGAAGAAGAAGAATCTGTCGGAGCCGTCTCCAGGTTAGGGTTTACTGGTGCACGGCGGAATTGCACAGGAGGAGAAGGTGGAGTGGGGATGGGTCTGGAAGCAGGGCCACTCCAGGAGTTAACAGGCGGGTCAAGCTTCCTGCTTGAATGACCACAACTATACTCACGACTGCCGGCGTTGTCACCCGCAACTGTGGCGGCGGAGGAAGAAATCGTGGTTTCCTTGAACTTGCGGCGTTTGGGCTTGATGGGCTGGGTGTGGACCTTATGTTGAGATGTCCTTACGGTAGTTGTAGTAGTAGTGGTGGTTGCATTCGCTGCCATGAAATTAATGTAAAGGTATGCTAAGTTATTGTCCTTTAGCTTTCAGGCTCAGACACCATCCATTCATTGATTGGCATCAATGTCTGAAATTCGGACACAATTTTAAAAAACGGAAGTAGATAGGTTACAGGAAGAAACGACACGGGGACTGTGCTGTGCCTGTGAGGGTGGGGAGCATTAAATATGGGGGAGAAGAAGATGAAACAAAGGTTGTAAATAAATATCCACCTGGATTGTTGTTGTGTTTTGTTTTTTGGAGGGCTTAAGAATGGTGCTTGGGGGAAATCAAAGGTTTGTAAATATGCACTGCTACCTGTGTGTATATGGTTAGAGAGTTTGGAGCCTTTTAGATTTCTCGAAACAAGGGAAGAAAAGGGGCAACCCAGCCCCACCGCCCCCACCATGTTCATTCCAGTTATGTTGTCTTTTGTTGCTCATTTGTCATTTGCTTCACGGGATGTCCTCAAATCATTATCAACAATTTGGGATGCCAGTAAAAAAAAAAAAAAAAAGATTTTTCTATCATGAAGGCTTACCGCACGTATTAACGGTGTGTTTGAAATTACGGTTAGAAAGTTTTTTACCGTAGTCACCTAATATTTTTATATTTACGTATTTAAAATTTTTTTTAAAA